CTTCTCCTTTCGGGGTGCGTCCACCACTTTAATGGCAGGGTTGAATATGGGGTGCGACTCTAACGGCTTCATCTCTAATATTTTTGGGTGAAAATCCAGAAAGTTTGTTGACATTGTAATAGTCCCGAAATGAGAAATTGTAAAGTATACGAAATGATGAAGAACCTTGCTGAATGATGCGTATTCTGTCTTGCGCCATCCGCTGAGCCGCCTTGTCTCCTTTGGTTTTGGCTGCCATTGCCATTTCTTTGGCGTCGTAGAGCTGAGCGGTCAGGATCAAATACCTGTCGTTCTGCAAACCAAATATCAATACATTTAGTTCAAACTTTTAGTGATCCAAAAGACAATTTTCATGCTTTTTGGTATTAAATAAGTTGAGATAATTTACAGCTCGGTTCTCATCATTTTCCTTCGTTTCTTTTCAGTGAAGCCTTTGTACTCAATTAAAACAAATCTAATAGCGCACAATTCCAATCACAACCATGATTGAAATAATAGTTTTGTTCATCAGGCTTACCGGATCAAACTTTTCATCTAATTCGGGGTTGCGTTGCGACGTCTTCTCTCCTTCTCCCTCCTCACCATCGTCTTCATCGCTGCTCTGCTCAGCGTACCTTAAGATCCAATCTTTCATACGTGCGTCGTCATCCTTCACGGACACCTGGAAAGCGCAATTACGGTTTGGATGAATGGCAGAATACGATGACTTCCTGTTTTTCTAACTGCACACCTTGCTGGCGTCTTTGGAAGGGGGCATTATGGGTAGCTCGGGGCTCTGGGTTCGGGGTTGGACAGGGGGCTGGAAACGGGGCCGATTCCTCTGACTCTCCTCCTGCATCTGCTGGCTGAAACCTTCAGGAAGCTCATCTGCGAATTCAACATCTTACATGGAGCAGCTCGAAGGACGAGCTTGGAATTTACAGCTCGTGCAAGGTTACCATCTCGAAGGTTCAGGCAGAGCCAGTCGAGGGCAGAGTGGAGATCACCTCCGTAGAGCACGCTGGTCTTCATGGCCTCCTCGATATGCTCCCGCTTGAAGTCGAACTTCTGCAGGGCCGTGTACAGATCCTACATGCAGAAAAAAAAAA